CGCTCCGTGCCCGCGGGCCCCGGCCCCGCCGCGCTCTCCTCCATCCCCGTGAGGGACTCGTAGGAGGGCAGGGAGACGCTGAGCCTGTTGCTCCTATCCGAGTCCCTGGGCTCGGCGTAGCCCGAGTTCATAACTTCCTCGTAGCTGGGGACGTAGTACTGGGAAGATGCATCTTCATCCTCTTCTTGGCTGCAAGGGGTAACAGTAAAACTATCAGTGCCTGGCACTATTTTGGCTTTGCGGGTGAAGGAGAAGGGAGGAAGATCGTAATGATAAAGCAGAAAAAAGGGATAGAAGTGTTTGCCCCTCTATGCTATACAGCAGGTCATTGCAGATGGGCAGAAGAGACTGCAACCAGCCTGCGTTTCTCCGGCATTAGGATATTGCCTTTCCTAACCTGCTGGAGCACAAGGGTCTTCAGGGCATCCCCAAAATCTGCCCGGAGTTACCTGTGCTCGCGCTGCAGCTCTCACCTGCAGCCTTTCCCGAGCAGGGGCCAGACGGGACCACCTTGGGTCCATTCCTACTCAATAACCCCTCTCTCTGGACACACCAGTACTTCAAGGATGGGATACAATCCTCATCCTGCATGCGTGCTCCAGGGAGAGACGTTTATTTAGATTGTCCCTCTTACAACCGTGGTCTTTGCCTAGCACGGCAGCACCCCGGGCAGACAGTGAACCCAAGAATCCAGCAGGTCTGAACTCCGTCCTGCTGCGGCTGCCGGCCCGGGGATGCCCCTGGGGCTTGTTTGGCACCTCCGACCACCCCGAGCGAGACAGCACAGGCTGCCCCAGCGCCTTCCTCCTCTACAGTGTCCTCCTCCTCCCGCGTTAATCATTAACACCGTCCCCCGGCGCTCGCTCCGACACACTGTTTGTATACTAACAAAGCAAGGAGCTTCATGCCTCGGCGATGTTTGCCCAGCCACAGCCCCTTCCAGAGCACAGTTTAACCATAAACGAGCTTGCTTTCACCCATGGCACCTGCATGAAGTCCTCCTGATCTCAAAAACTTGTATCTGAACCCCAAAATAGGAGATGTGGCTGGTTTTATTTTAATATGCAGCACTGCTGGCTTTAATCTGCTTGCTCCTCACCTCTCTGAAGAGGGAAATCGTTGTATTTTTAAGCTGGATCTGTCCCTTTTCCCCTGGAAGAGGCTCACCTGTCCTCCTGCTGCGAAGGCTCTGCAGATGCCTGGTGCTGGATCCTAGTGATGTCCTCGCTTTGCCTCTTCTTGTCGCGGATATTCAAGCAGATGGAAAGCAAAAGCAGCAGCACTCCAGCCCCGACCAGCACGTAGGCCACGGAGAAGGTCTTGCTCTTGAGGATGCCGCCGCCGCCGCGGTCGGGCTTGCTGCTGTTCCCCGCGGGCGCCGCGGGGTTCTCCGCCC